TGTTATCTAGCTTACCCGTGTTCTTAATGTCGGTCTACCTGCTTCCTAAAGGTATTATTCATTTTATCGATAAAATTCGCAAAAGTTTTTTATGGGGTGGGGAAGGAGAAGGTAGAAAAATTAATTGGGTTAAATAGGAGAAAGTTTGCAAAAATAAGCTATGTGGGGGTTTAGGAGTGAGAGAGATGAGGAAGTTCAACTTAGCTTTAATGGGGAAATGGTGGGGGAGGCTAGCAAGAAATGAACAGGGTTTGTGGGATAAGGTTATAGCTAGCAAGTATGGAGGGAAATGAGGCCATTGGCTTGACTGGGTAAGGGATGGGAGGGGAATAGGATCACTATGGTGGAGGGATGTCGGATGTCTCAACAATGTCGATGAGGAGAAAGAAGGGTGGCTAACAGAGGGTTTTAAGCTTAAATTAGGAGAAGGGAAAAGAGTGAGCTTCTAGAGAGATAATTGGGGTGGGGAGGGAGATCTTGCTAACCTTTATCCAAGATTGTATAATTTTTCAACAGGAAAGGAGAAAAAATGTTGTCAAATGGGCAAAGAGGAAGATGGAACTTGGAGGTGGAACCTAGAGTGGAGGAAAGCCTTGTTCGACTAGGAAAGGGAAGAAGCAGCAGAACTACAACAAAAGATTGATAGCATGCGGATATACAAGGACATCCCCGACACATGGAAGTGGGAGCATAGCAAGGAAGGCAACTACTCAACTAAATCAGCTTACAAACTGTTGACAAATGAACTTAATGGACTGGATGCAGCTCCAATACACAAGAGAGTGTGGAACCTAATCATTCCAAGCAAAATTTCTGCTTTTAACTGGCAGCTATTGCAGGATAGAATACCAACAAAGAGCAACCTGCAAAGAAAAGGAATAACCACTGAACTAGATGATGGAACCTGCGCTTTATGCGAGGAGGAGGTCGAGGACTCGAATCATCTTTTCCTGAGGTGCAAGGTGGCAAAGTGGCTGTGGAAGGCTTGTGGGAAATGGTGGGGAACCTCTGTTAATTTGGGAAATTATTGCTGGAAAACTTTTGAGCAGTTTGGGGCATGGGCCAAAGAAAAACGAGTAAAGGAAGGCTGGGATTGTATATGGAACGTTGTGGTGTGGACCATATGGCTGGCAAGAAATCAAAAGATATTCCGAGAAACCGACATCAACAAAAGTAAGTTGCTTGACCACATTCAACTAAAATCGTTTTGGTGGATTAAAACAAGGAAATCTAGCTGCTTGTTTAGTCTTTATGATTGGTTATACAATCCAATGACATGCCTCAAAGTTAACTGTGGTAGGAAGTAGGAAATAGGGACCTGAACCATTCTTGGCCGAAATGGTCAATATGATAGGTGGGATGGACTGATCCTCTGCATGTTGATGTACAGGTAGCATTGAGCAACTTATTGACTCTTGTTGGTTATTAGACAGAGTCAGTAGATGCTCAATATGTACCTATTTTTGTAGCATGGGCAAGAGTACCCCTTGTACTCTATATAATAAACTATATTTGCTGTGCAAAAAAAAAAAACAATAATGAGTATAATATTTAAAAATAATAATAAAAAATAAAACAAACGGGTCAACCTGTGAACCCATGGGTTGACCCTAACTCAACCTGTGACCCGTACATGTTGATAATACGAGTTATCTACGGGTTGCGAGTTAAGATATGTAGACTTTAACCCGTTTTTACTGGTTGGGTTAGTGTCAGGTTGACGGGTTGAATAAATTTTTGCCAGGTCTAGTTGTAAGATCTGCTGAAATGAATCAATCGATTGTCAAATTAATTAAACGATACGAAGATATTTCCAATCTAAAGAGATGATTTTAATTAGGGTTAATGCCGAACAGAAATGCCATTGCTTTGTATGATTGGAAATATTTTCATTACTGACAATCAAACATGGTAAAGTAGTACTTTAAATTAAGATGGAATAATAATTAATTAATTTCACATTAAATTATTTTTACTTTTAACGTTAATAATTGTAATAAAAAAATGACGGATAAGAAGGAAGACACTTTCGGTTTGGACATGTGTGGTTAGCATCATTTTCATTTTACAGCTGCCTGCTTAATTTTAATCATCCTAGCAACCATCGACATTGACGTTAAATATTTCGTAAATTAAAAGATGAGCATGATTAATTAGTATATTATTTACATAAAAAAAGGGGGGAACGATATCATATAGTGATTCTTCTGTCTGTCGCATTTGTTGGAACGATTATGCAATAAGATAGATAATGAGACAGCATTGATGAGTAGACGAAAAGGAAGATTACCATTTTTAATTATTTGCATTTCTTAAGCTAGAAAAACAAAGGAAAAGTTAAGAGAGCATTATAGGTTGGTGTTATTTGTTGGATTTCCTTTTAAATGGTCTCTTGTTTTTAGGGTTAGCAAGGAAGTAAATGGGGGGAAAGAAGTAAAATGCCAAAGACTTAGACCATTGTCTTCCAATCTCAATTGGAGATCCAAAGTTCCTTCCTCTTTGCAAAACACATTCATGATTGCAGAAAATGGTATGAGAGCTATACCCTCATGTTAATTTTTTAATATATTTGATAAACAATAGAGAATAACTCTCTATTATTTTCTAAATTTCTTAAATTATTTAAAAATTTACAATACAACAAAACTATCTTTTAAGGACTAGATAGTAGAAATCCCATAGTTAAATTAAAATGATGAAAAATTCATGTGAATAACAGTGGGTATATATAATAGACAGTTCAATAATATATATACATGTATACATATATATAATATAGAGAGACAGAATAATTCATGACTGCATGCAATTAATATCCCTCCTGACTATCATTTTAAACTTTTTGATAACATGAGTATACAACTGTCCTATCTATAGGCATTCAATAAGGCTTCGTCAAGAGAATCAAACGTAGCCTTTTTTGTCTTTTTCTTTTTTTTTATGAAAACTACAACATTTAATATATATTTCATATCCAAATCTTTTAAATCTCAAACTGGATTGGTCAATTTAATCGGTTCCATTGAAACCGGTCCTAAAATTACATTGACTTAATTAGTCAAATTCAATCAAACGTGATTCAATTCTTTTTTACATTTTTTTAAAATTTTTTATATTTATTTATTTTATAAATAATATAATAATTAAAAACCCATGAGTGATTTGGGTGGGTCAGTTTTCGCTAAAAACAATGCACCATGGCAATCAATGTGCCAGGAATTGATGAAGTATCGCCTCTTCACATGGCAACGTTTGGACGGATGGTAACGGGTACATGATCAGTTTTTGCTTTTAATTTGTTGTCAAAGCCTCAAACTAAAAGATTTCAAGAGTTTATACTTACCCATTTATAGTTCAAGGGAAACCAATTTCATATTTTACAAATTTAGGATTAAATTGGTAATTTTAGCCACGTAAAACTTAGAATATATAAAATAATTACTAACTGTTCGTAAAGAAAGAAAAAAACAAACAAACAAACAGAGGAGCAATTGATTAGAACCCATCACTTGCCCAAATCCCCACCATGAATTTGGAGTCCAAAAACGAATTTGTTCCAAAGAATCAATTAACTTCCAATATAGGAAAACCCTATCTACATGACTACGTACATACGTACTAATTAAGTCAACAAAGTGGACCTACACTCCCAACAATGAAACCCTTTGCCTTCTTTCAAACTTCTATTTATTTCAACCCACCACAGACAATAACAAAAATCAACCAGATCTAGATTCGACAAAAATGGAAAACCTAAGAAAAGGGGGAAACCTAAGCAAGCAAGCTAACATATAGATGTACAAATGTTTTCAAAGAGTCTAAAGCGGACCTACTGCCATACAATACATATGGTCCAAAAATCAAAACCCTTTGGCCCTCTTTCAAACTTTTTTTTTCAAAATCAACACACCCACAAACAATAACAAATATCATCTAGACTCGCTAAAAATGGAAAACCCAACAAAGATGGAAACCTATCAATTAGCAACACATAAAAAAAAATGTTTTTGAAGAGTCTCATCAGAGCCTAGCTATAAGATAAGACTTCAACAATAATTGTGCATTGTTTTTTTTTTTTTTTTTCTTTTTAACAAGGGTAATGGTTAGGAAGTTAATATGAGTTAATTGTTAGCAACTGAGGATTCGATTCCCAGATCAGGTGAATATTCCACCTTCTCAAATGAGGCGCGCGGTCATCGGGTCGCTTTTGATGGAGTTCACGATGGTGGTAAAGTTTGAAATTCCGACCACCTCACCCAAGCACTTAAGGTTTGAGATCAAACCATTGGGTCTAAAAACCCGATTCATAATTGTGCATTGTTGGTCCAATGGACATGGCTTCCATCTTTATGGATTAGCTGCAAATTAAATGAACCAATTACTTCGATCTAATTGATCAAAGGAGTTGTTCAGACTTTGAATTCATCATTTAGGTTTGGCTCTAATTTGATTTCTAAATAAACGAGTATGAATTAAGCTCCACCCCTAGATTAAAAGTTAATGTCCAAAAATGCAGAAAAGATAATGGGATTGGGGCATGCATTGGTCCCAATGCCATGAATGACGCTTGTCAGTTCCTGGGTATAGGAACAGGGATTGGAAAAGGAAGTTTTGGCATTTCGCCCGTTTTCCCTTTGACAAATTTTTTTTGCTTCGGTTTGATGATTTGTAGACAGCAAAAGTTTCAGGCATTTGTATAAACTTGATTGGTTCATGGCGGCTAGGAGATCATTTTTCTCACATTTCGCATTGATTTGCATTTTGTTTGTTTAAGTTGGTTAAATTTAATAATTATAGTCTAATATTATGGAAAAAGTTAAATTTTGGTTTAAACAGTTTATTTTATCCTAGAAAAATCATATTAATATGGTTACTCATCACTTTTGTTAGTTTAACTAATTAAGGAAAATTCATGTCAACACTTACCTAATATTAAACAATCCATCATGCTGAGAAAAAAAAAAAAAAAACTTCCCACCTTTTATAAATATCAATAGTTAGTAATAGATAAATTATGAAATAATTTAACCCATTAAGTTTCAGTCTCAATAAAATTTTATAACATTGTTGATTTATATTGTTGCTCAACGGTCCAATTTCTTAATAGATATTCTCTGCTATAGGAGTTAAAATTAAATCAAACGCAATTTTATAAAATATGTTAGTTTTTGACTATTTTTTAGAAGTTTTCAATTTCTAATGAGTAAAAAACTGAAGTTATAAATCTGTAATTTTTATAATGGAGCTTTTGTTATTATAGTTCAGTGAAAACTCTACCTAAACAACACTTCTATTATATATATAAAATCAAGCTACAGCTAAGACCAAAAGATAATTTTCTGTATATGTCAAGTTTATTCATGCATATCAATTTGACATCTACGGCGTTGAAACATTTTTTCAACCTGTTCGGCTCATTAAACCAGACATAAATTATAGAAATAAAAAGAAAATTTTATGTAAAGGATGGAGACAGCTTTTTAGACTCCTTATGCCAGGATTAGCATTGCACTTGGAAATTGTTAACCAATCTGCAGTCACAGGATACGATGGCCAAATCGAACCGAAACTCCTAGAATGGAGGAAAAAAGAAGAGTGCAAGGATTACGACAAAACTGCTCAGTTATTGGCGGCCATTTTGTTCTATATATATGTCCTTTATAATTAAGGTGTTGATATATAAACAATTTTTTTATTTTTTTTATACAATTTTCATATGTTCTTTAATGAATAAATGATTTAATATCATGGATCTCAAATATAAAAAAAAAAGAATAAATTATTTAATAATACATAAAATTATTCAAAAATATGGTACAAAAAAATTATCCCTAATTAAATCATTTTCTTTATAATTAATTCCTTCACACTACATTCCATATAACACGTCAAACATGATCACAATACATATGCTTCTGATAGTCTAGCCACATGCTAATGCAGACATTTTGTGGGTTCTTTGAAAGAGAAGCTCTTTAATTTTTTTTATTTTAAGGCAAAGGGCCCATGATATGATTCTCTCAACAATTTGACCTCATTTCATAATGAAAGTCCAGCCTTCACTATTAAAAGACAAATCATGATTGATGCATTCAAATTAAAAAATCTGTATTGATAATGAACTCTCTTAAGAATCGAATCTTAATAAACTAGATTTGAATTAAACTATTTTACTAACCAATCCTATCACATATATATATGAAAAAAAAAAAAAAAAACCCTTTTCATTATTACACAAGACCTATGGTTGAAAGAGAAATGCGTCAAAGCTTCATTTCACCCTTAATAACCTTTGTGGTATTCTAGGTTACAACATGCGGTGTTGGGGAGGGCAACTCTTAAAATTTGATATCTTACTAAAGTTTTTTTTTTTTTTCTTTCAAAAGGTAAACATCTCTCAAACCCAAGCTAGAGTTTTAATTCTATTTCAAGACAATGACTAAGAATATTGAAATTTATTATGTTGTCTATATCATAAGTTTATAATTAATTAAGCATCATTTGATGGGAATGTCCCAACGAACGGCGGCGTTCGTTTGTCCTTACACCAAAATTGGCCATATCTAAACTCCTCGATTCCTCGTCCATCCATTGGTTACCCGTGCCCACAGAAGAGGAGATATAATTGTATATTTAAAAAACACAAGCCATTAATTAAGAAGGCTTATATAAGAGATAGCTAGAGAAAAGGAAAAAACGGAAAATGAATCGCTTAACTAACTCGATGTTAATTTTTTTAATAAAAATAAAAAAATGTATTATATATAATTTGAATAATATGACATGTGAGGTAAATAGATAAATAAATATAAAAAAATTATTATTTATTGTGTAATTTAAAGTTTAAAATGGAAAAAAAAAACACACACACACAAAATAGTAATAATAAACAGAAAAAAACAAAACACGAAAACTTGGTGGGTCAGGATATGATCTTGCTAGTTTCATTTACTCGTCCATACTGAGTTCACAAAAGTGAAAAGGATTTGCACCAACTCGGAGAAAAGACAACAGGAAGGACAAAACAACAAGGGCAATGCCAAAACAGATATACCTCTCATACAAATTGCAATCTTCAATTCGGCCACATGCATTGTCTTCTAGTCTGTGCTATGCAACAAGACAAAATATTAAGTAACCAACAAAAGCAGCAATTCAATTGGATGAAATTAGGAGTCATTTCCTCCTCTTAAAACCAAGGTGGGAGATGAGGATAAAATTGGGTAGATCCTTAAAAAAATGAAATAAAAAATAAAAAAAATTCTTGAGGAGAAAATGGTAATTCTATTCAGCACATGATCGTTCTGTAACATGGTAGATTTAGTTCCATATTAAAACATATGCATAAGAACTAAGGAAGATGTAACCATTGAAGAAGACAACAGAAAGAACAGAAGTACAGATAAAGGTGTCCGTTCTAAAACTGCATACATGAATGAATAAGGATCTTCCTTGGCCACATGGATTGTCATTGTCCTATTGCTAGTTTGCAAACAAACCAGCTCTCATGATCTTGTAGGAAGATGCATATTGTACTTTCTCTCCTTAAGTTTTGATCTTTTCCACTTTGGTCTAAAATTTAGGTTCCTACCTTAAACATTTCTCAATCTCGTTCCCTTGGAAAACAAGGAAACTGGGTTTTTTCACATCTTTTTATGAGATATTAGTGTTTATCGAATGTGGTCAGCGCAGACTGTTTTATTGATCAAAAAAAAAAAAAAAGAACAATGGAAGTGATTTCAGTTCATTTACGTATTCAAACAGTGATTCTTAATCAATAACTTATGATTATTATCAAGAAAAACATAGCATATGCAGCTACAGAAAGGAGGAGCAGGAGAATCTTTTTCACCTTGATTGTGAACTTGGAGCCGATTGATTGCTGAAAATCATCTCAACAACCACATTAGGAAGGTTGGTGCTAGGAGTATCATTGCAAGGTCGCCAACAGTTATAACAGAATTTGATATATTAGTTGATCCTGTATGTATGAATTACATATATTTAATTAGGTGCAAATACGAAAACAGAGATTTCACAAAAATGATTTCAAGATTCATGAAGAAACCAAAGAAATAGAATTTGTTAACTTAAAAGCTTCCCTTTTTTAAGAGAGGGAACAGATGCACTTAGTTGTATCTGTTATACAATCATATACTAACCTTGATTGGATCCAACTTCAATGGGCCTATAAACAAGCCAAGGTAAAGACTAAAGAGTAAATATTCAAAAATGGGTTCAAGGTTGGCCTCTAGCCTTAGTCTTAGAATTTGAATAGACTTAAATCCTTGGACCCATTGGGATTTCGGTTGAGGCAGTAACTTCCTTTCATTTGAAAATATAGGAACTAGGTTCGAGCTACAATGGCACTCTGGTGAGAAATGGGAAGAGAGATGGCTATCTCCTGTTGTGTATAACACAATAAAAAGTGGCTTCTGAATCTGAACTTATTACAAATACGAAACATGTTACCTTTTGAAGCTGAGCTTGGACTGCTGGAAGGAGGTGGTTGTGAAATTTGTGGTCGTGGAACTGATGGCAGGTTAAAGCCAAGACTGCTGCAATCTGCTCCAAAATAGCCTGGAAAAAAAGAAATCACATTCTCACACATATATCCATCTTATGTACGTCACACAGCAAGAGATACAATCCTTGGCTTCCAAACTCTTAAATACTACGAATGCAAATATTGCTCGAACTACAAAAGGGGAAAATAAAGATGACTTTCCATTTTTTTCCGATAACTAGCATTCCATTTCAAAATTATCAATAAATTAGTAGAAGGCAACTTACATGTTTTAAAACAAGCTAAGTTGGAAGAATTCAACAAATTCTCCGAGCCTTGATTGCACTGGCATGCATATCCAGTTCCATTAGTTACACATGTTCCATCACCACACCAAACAACACCACATGCTGCGAAATAAACCCCAAAAAACAAAAACCTGTCAGTTTCCATAGTTATCTGTCATAATACTTCTCAAGATATCCTAGAAAGCATGAATATTTTCTCAAAATATGATGTACACCTATATTTTATGGTTAACAATACTTACGGCTAAATAAATTCTTTGATGGCGGAAGAATAGGAGCTAGTGATGAAGGTGGTGATGGAGATCTAGATCCGTTCCCACAATGAAAATCAACTGTGCCTGCAATTTGATAGGGTTAGTAAATTACTTCTAGATTTATTTAAAAACGTAAACTAAAAAAACAGTTTCACAAGCTTGTCATGCTGGAATATTTTAACCCTTTTCCCCTAACAGAGTGCCCTCTGAAATTTCACAAAAATAGGGAAACAGAATCAAGAAGTTCATGCATGCATGTATATATATATATATATATATATACAAACATACACAAAACATTCATCAACATGCATAGTACGTGCACATATATATGCATATAGAGGAGGCAGAGAAACTCACAGTTTGGAAGGAGACACGAGGGGAAGGTGAAAGGACCAATCTGAATCTTTCTCCAACCAGGATGACAGTCACAGACAAATCCAGGCAGTGAAGCATTTGAAGCCTTGCATGTTCCTTGCCCACAGTTTATCAGTAAGCATACATCTGCAAAATTACATTTCTCATGACCATTGTCGGGTCATCATATTCGTCAGTACCAAACAAAACCCATATCCCACAAATTAAAAATGACTAAAAATTTAAAGCACTGAAGAAAGGATAAAGAGTGGTTTTAGGTTTTACCTTGAAAACGGTTAATTCACACCAACTCTGAAGAAGTTGTAATTATGCTGCATAAACACAGAGGGGAAAGGAGAAGAAGATAAAAGGAAATAGTAGTGAAATTCAAATTGCAACAGCCCATGGTTTTGAGAATAGCAGAGGACAGCAAAGTTGGTGAAGGCAATTAAAGGTGAATATATGTTGTCGAGACTTGAAGAGAGCAAGGTCCAAGATAATTCCCGTGTCCTAGGGGTTTGGGCTTTGAAGTCTGACTTCCGTGCAAGGAAAAATGAAAACACAATTTGAACTTCATTTTGTTTTCTGTAAGAAAGTGAAATATTTCCAATATTGATGTTGTTGTGTGTAACTACTAAGACATGAAACACCATTGAAGTATGAAGTTTCGCTTAAAAATTCAAAATCAATGAAATCAACAATATAAGGAAAATGCGATCGGGTTACATCAACAGTGGGTACACGAAAGATATTCAAAATAACACAAGAAGGCAGAGCTCTGCAACCACTGCCAAAACAATAAACAATAAACACAAAACAGACCAAAACATATCCTAAAGCAAACCATGATTCTCTCTTTAAGGCCGGTTTTACTTTTGGTCATGCTGATCCAAATTCGGTAAACCACTTCTCATGCTTTTCAACATCGGCTTGGGATACACTACGCTGGACCTTCATCAAGGCTTCTTCAAAGTCACACCTTGCAACAGGGTCCTTGGAGATCTCGTCCTTGGACATGTTCTTAATCTCATCACGTGTCTTACCAGCTATTTTTCGCCTCATGCCGTTCAAGGAAGCATCACGGCAAACGTTTGTGAGATCATCTCCACTATACCCCTCTGTTCGGCGAGCCACTTCATCAATATCAACATCAGGTGCAACCTAACAGAGATACAATTTAACTTAGTTGAAGGCTTGAATTTACTTCAAGTACTAAATTGATTACAAGAAAAGGTGATGTGATGCACAGACGGACATGCCGACTAAGGAAAGGTGGGAAAGCAGAGCATCAGGGAATCTGAAAAGCTATGGGATGACATATCGAGCTTAATTTCCGAACCATAAATTTCATATGATGCCTAGTGATCTCGCAAGTAACCTACTCAATACATAGAAAGCAGCTTTGGACAAAAAATAAGCAAACAGCACGTGCAGGATTAAGTATTGATAGATCTATTCCATCGCATGTAAATAAACTAAACTTCAATTCCCATGAAACAAGCAACATCAGAGACAAAATTTGAAAGCTGAAATCAATATTTGAAATGAATGTCAAAAGTACGAAAAAGAAAAGTTAAATTTATGGTTTTGTTTAGAGCATACTCAAAAAGAAAAAAAGGTTTAGCCCTTCAATTGTTCATTTCATCAAGGCGTTCATCAAAAGGGAAATAGGCAAAAATGATTGCAAAAAGCTTTCAAGCTTTCAGCTAATTCTTCAGTCAGCGAATTTTTAATGTAGCATCATATATCATGCATCCATTGCATAAATGAAGAGGCAAGAATATAAATTAAATACAGCATTAAGAAAGATATATGGAAAAATATTATACTCTTAAAAAATATGACTAAATTAGTCAATTATGAAGAACTTACCTCAACTGTCTTCAAATTGATCCTAATAAGCTCCTTCCGACTCTCAAAATTAGGGAGAGGAATATATATGCGCTTTTCAAGTCGCCTCCTGCATTCCGTGAAGAACAAATTAGAATATAGTAAGAGTAAACTGGAAAATCAAAGTAAGATCTCACTGACATATCATCGTACAAGACCTAGAGAATTCAAAGAATGAAAATAGAAAAAGATATCTCAAAAACATTTATAAAAAAGATAAAGAGGATCAACCTGAGAGCCTCATCTATGTCCCATGGGAAGTTAGTTGCTGCCAGTACCATCACTATTTTACGGCTACCATCTTCATTCGTGGCAGTATTATTGACACCATCTACCTGAACAAGAAGTTCAGACTTCACCCTTCTGGATGATTCATGTTCCCCTGAAGCCCTGAACAACTCATAATACTTGTAGTTAGAGCCAACTACAATTGAGACAGAAAAGACCCACTAATATCATATTTTCAGTGCATAAAAGACAGGTTATATCCACATTTCAAGGCAAAATAACCGGGGAAGGGAGGGAAGGAAAGATCAGGGTTAGAAAGATGTAGATGTGTGTGTGTGTGTATGTGTGCACATTTTCAAGTTCTATGGCCCTATTCCCCATGTTATTTGTGTACACAAAACAAGGGAAATTGATAGGAACAGAAATTTTATCTGCAAAACAAAGAGCATGAATGGTTATTCATGCTCTAATTTATTCTCCTAATCTACCATTCATCCCATATTATATCCCAAGGAGTAATTTGAAACTTCAAATAAAGCAGCAAGAACTTCTGCATCTGCTTGACGCCCTTGTCCCTTGGACTGGAAAACAGGAGACATATATATTGACAACAACAGGATAAAGTAAAATGTAATTGCCAGAAAAATAAAATATATGAAACTTACCCACGAGCATTGCAAAGAGAATCAATTTCATCAATAAAAATTGTGCTTGGTGCATAAGCTCTTGCAAGGTCAAACAAGCACCGTACCATGCGCTCACTCTCCCCACGCCACTTTGAGGCTAATGTAGCAGAAGAAACATTGAAAAATGTTGTGCCACACTCAGTTGCAACTGCTTTAGCCAGAAGAGTCTTGCCAGTCCCAGGAGGGCCAAACATAAGGACACCTTTCCATGGTCTTCTAATTCCCTGAAGAAAAAACATAATAGTGAGCTTATCCTGACTGCAAGATAGCCAATGAAAACATAAATATTTGTAGCATGTTAAGAAGGGTTTGGAAGGAAATATGCAATAAATTCCCAAACCCTTTTCATGTTTTTGACTCATTTCAGACAATGGTTTTCATGTTCAACAGTCCTAATATTTTCTTAGAGAGTCCCAATTTCCCCTGAAAGAATTAACAGAAAATGAGACTTATGTTCCTAATGATAGAATGAACTTAAGAGCTAAGAAACACAATCACATTCCAGGGGACTCTTTTGCCATTTTATACACCCTTCCTTTTGTCCAGGTAGCTTATACTCTCTTCATGAATGCAAAATTAAGCCAACAAAGATACGAGATAAGAATCAATATCTTACACAAAAATGGATAGCACTTTCTTCAGAACAATCCTAAAGACTTCCCAGGGGCAAGGAATCACAAAATATAGAACCAGTCAGGAGTCAGCTAAAAATATTAACATGCCACTAAACTATAACAACAATTCAGCTTCAACTGAGTACCTGAAAGTATTCAGGCATCCATAGAGGAAGAACAACAGCCTCCTCTAAGAGTCTTTTGGCTTCAGTCAAACCTGCAACATCATCCCACCGCACTCCAGGAGTGGTTTCTAAGACATCCCTTTCAAGCATTGCAGCCAAGTCTGGGTCAGGTCCCTCGTACTGTCCCCTCTTTGACTTTCCATCTTCAGCATCACCATTCTGAGAAGAACACAAATCAATTGCATAAAGAACAGAGAATCTGGATATTATGCCCTGGGACCATGAGGCATGCCGTCTTTGGGAACAAAAAGATAGCTGCATTTAGTTGCACATTATACACCATATCACCATGGAATATGGTGATCTCATCACTACAGCAAGGGTGGATAAAGTAAGATCACCTGACGCAGTGATCTGCATCTTCCACTAATTTTCTGGGACAAATTTGTCCACCCTTAAGCAACCATAAAAATAGATTTTTCAGTTTATCAAGTATGAAAGATTATTATAGAGTAGCAAATCATCTAGTAGTTTTCAACCAGTAAATCCACACATGACTAGCAAAAGATTCCCTAAAATAAATACTGAGAGCTGTATATTGAAGTCCCCACTCCCTGCCCCCCCCCCCCAAAAAAAAAAAAAGTAACAAGAAGAAAGAAGGAATAGACTGTATGCTACAACTTACCATTGACTCTCCCTTGCTAGACTTTCCAGAACCAGTGCCCTTTTTCCCAGTGGTAGATGCTCGGACCCCTGTGTTTGTTCTACTTGAACCACCCGCCTTTGCACCACGGCCAGTTGTACTTGTCCTTGTAGAACCACGGGCCCAAGCTCCATCTTGGGCTGATTTCCTTGCACCCATTTGGCCAGCCCTTGCAGGCCTTCTACTTGTATTGTCCTGACTTGGAGGGCGCCAAACATCAGGATCATCCATTGGAGCACCTGATGAAGTCGGATACTCATCTAATGGTTGAAACACAAATGATGATCTAGCATTGATTGGAGGTGAAGAAGGACGTCTGCCACCAGGAGCCTCTTTAAATGCCCTTCTCTCTGCGTCCAGTTGCTTTACAACATCGGTCTCCTCCGATATGGCTTTCTTAACATTCATCCATTTTGCACGAATTAATGGGTCATCAAGAGTGCTTAAGTGCCTAAATGTAGACAAATAACTAGTGTTAGCAAGTTAATTCAAACACTATTGAAAAAGATATCAAACATAAACACTAAGGAGCCAAGAGGAAGATCCATGACATGATCATTGTATCATTCACTTAGCAAATGCAACTGAAGCATGTAAGAAAAATCAGTTGTTTTAGGGAAATATATGTGTTTTTTGAGAAAAATATAAGTTGGCATGATGCAAAATTGAACACCCTATAAATTTAGTTCTATAGAAAATAAGAAATCCCACTTCATAAAATATTTTTGTTTTCAAAAGAAAAGTAAAAATCTTCGTTTCTTCAATTTTAAGTTCCATTCAGTTCAGCAAATTTCAGAAATAAAGAAAACATAATTCACCTCGACAACCATAAAAAGCTTATATCTGGAAAAGACAAAGATATATACTCTCTATATTTAAATAAATAAATAAAAAGCAGGACTAATGGCTTAACTTAAAGAAAAAAATTTTAAAAATAAATTTAAAAAATTCCCATGATTACTGTGCATGAACTAATGAAGAAATCTAGAAAAATTAAAAAAAAAAAATTCTTAGTACACCAAACAAGCCAAGTACAGCATCCCAAATCCAAATCCACCAGACAACAAATCATTAAAACAAACCCTAGTTAAAAACGAAGCGTCTCTGCAAGTGCTGCAATGTCAACAATGGAACAGAAGAAAGGGAATTAATTACTTGTTGATCTGAGCGATGGCGCCATCGAAAAAGATTACAGAAGTATCGTAGAGGCCCTCGAGAGCATATTCTCGAGCCAACTTCAAGTGATCTTGCAGTCCCGCCAACGAATTGCCCACCATTTTCAGCTCTACTTCGCTTCCAGCATCAAAACAGAAATTCACCAAATTCTGAGATTTCCAGTGCGGGAACAAAAA